CAAGAGGAGGTGGGAGGCTGGGAGGGACGCAAAGGGGCCAGGCCTGGACAGGACCATCACGGAAACAGCAGGGCTGGCATCAGCAGAAAGGAGCCATTACCGGGCCTCCCCAGCTCCTCCCTCTTGCGTTGCTGTTTCCCTTCTGAACCCTTACTCACCTGCCCAGGTCTGGGTCAGGGTCAGGGCCCCTGAGAGCAGCAGCAGGAGGGTTGGGGGACCCATCCCCTGAGCTGGTCAGTCCTGAGATTCCTAGACCCAAAGGTGAGTGGGTGGGGACTGTACAGAGCCGTGGAGCTCGTTGGCTGCTCTGGAAACCGCCAGGCAATGGGGACTGAGAAACTGGGTGAGTCACCAGTATCCAGGAAGGAGGACCCCACACAGTTTGTGAGGGGACAAGTAAAACTGGGGTGAGAAATGCCTGAGGCCAGGCGTCCCCACAGACGCCCCACAGTAACCTTCCCCTGTCCAGACACAACCTTGGGCCCCAAACCCAGAGATTCACACCCCTGGACCTGGGGGGCGCTCTGCCCCTCCTCTTGTGCACCCAGACCTCTGTCCAGGGCCTGGGGTTGGGTCACTGATTCCTAAGCATTTTGTTTCAGGATCTCTGCACACGGTCTTACAAGGTCAAAGACCTCTGTCAGTGAAAGGAAGTGACAAGTTCTCTGTCTTCCCCCACTAGCATCTGTGAGCCACACCTGTGGTCTTACATGAGGGCCTGATGGCGGCACCTGGGCTATGGTGTGACAGGCCTGTGTGGGTGCCCCTGAGGCAGCGACTAAGCATGTAAGGAAGGGGGCCGAGGACACCGCAGTGGAGAGCAGCAAAGAGACCAGGAAGAGGCCAGAGAGCCCAGACAGAGCAAACATTCCCCAGGGGTGGAGGCCTGCCAGCCTCCTGTGCCCATGCACCCCCAAATGCCCTGCACCTGGTCTCCTCACTGCAGATGGGGTGAAAGATATTAAAGCCTGAAAAACCCAACCAGAGCCCAGGACTGTTCTTTGCTCCTCTGCCTGGTCATAGAGAACCCGCCAGTGTCTGCTGGCGCCACAGGCCCCCAAGTATAATTTTACACAGATATTTTCATGTACATACCGCCTGCAAATAAAGACAGTTCTACTTCGTCCCTATTTGGAATCCTTTTATGCCTTTTTCCTGTCTTATTGCTCTGGCTGGAACTTCCAATGTTATGTTGAAAAAAAAAAAAAAAAGCAGTGGCAATAGTTGACACCCTTGTCTTGTTCCTGACACAGCTTTCAGCTTTTCTCCGTTGAGGATAATTTTGGCTGTGGGTTTGTCATATATGACTTTCATCATGTTGAGGTATGTTCTTCTATTCCCAGGATTTCAAGGGCCTTAAACATAAATG